AATCCGAACTTGATTTCCCAGAAGTAAATCCTTGTGCAATGGAAGATATCGGGGGAAAAAAGGAACTGGAGTTCGAACATGACACAGGATTATAAGGCTCTTCTGAGTTCATTTGTGGGGCCTGAAAAACAGTAGCGGAATACAAATTAACACGTTTGAATAAAAAGGAAGATAAAAACGACCAACGTACGAGAAAAAGAAATAAAACTTTTAAAATCACTGAAAAATTCACCTGAGACGACGACGGGATCTCAAAACTGCTTGGAATACCTTGCTTTGAATTCTTCTGGACATACGTTTCACACTGGGAATTTGTACAACCTGTCGGTTGCAGACGAAGCACATTGCTTGGAGCATCTGTCTTAGAAGATTTCTGCGTGTAAGGTATTTTCAGCACCGTGGAAGGCACAACACAAGAGGTTTTTTGAACATTTATGGGCGGAGCAACAACTGCTGGAATGACGGTCGGAGCCTAAATAACAGCTCAAAATCAACCAAATACAATCAGTACTCACTGATTAAAATACTATAAAATTTTTGAAAGTTGAAATATTTCGTTTCTGCCGCACAAGCCGCTTCAAATACTTTTATATCCATTGTCTCCCTAACAAAAATTCCTAATATAGAAATGGAAGAGAGGAGAGTCTTTTAAAAAAAACAACCGTATTTGAAGAGAAAAGTGTGACTTCATTTCTGTAAAACGTACTTCACATAAAAAATGAAAAATTACAAAAACTGAAATCCTTAAGCAAAACTTGAAACTTCTTGAAATAAATTTCACAGTAGGCAAATAAAGCGCAATATCAATTCTAAATAGCTCACAATCCACAGAACCAAATGAAATCTTATACAAAAAAAATCAAATAATCCGTTTACGCCTTCATAGTAACCTTCAAAAGCAGGAACAACAACCATAGAATTTTTCAAATTTGAGGGAAGCTAAACTTTTCGCCTGAGTCGCATTTTGCGTACTTTATGCTTCCGAACATGAGTAAAACGGTTCGTTGCAAAATAATGGAGCAACTTTCAACCATCCAGGTTTTTTTTCGCGTAATATCTAGGCCTGTTCTAGAAAGTTTTTCATATATTCTTACGGTTCATTCGCAAATCGCGAATACGGAGTTGCTATTAAGATAGGTCAAGTGATGTGCTACCTTACGGTCTAGTCTGATAAGAGGATGAGAGGCACTTTTGGGCGAATTTACGGGTTAAAAGTACCAACCTGTAGCCTTTTTTCAAAACTCGGCGTCATCCTTGACCATTTTTCTGTTTTAAAGTTATTTTTTTACTCTCCAGTATTTCGCACTCCTTTAATTAGTATGCAAATTGTGCTGTCCACTGCTGCCAATATTTTTAGAACAAAATGTTAGTTTGATGTAAAACTATTAAAAATCGGTAATGTAATAGTTACTACTGTTACGCTTGTTAAGCTTCAGTAGTTGGCTCCAACAAATAACAGTAGGAGTCAGCAGTCTGGCTTTGAACATTTGGCATCAAACAAGTACCGAAAAAATATAATATTTTTACACTGACTAATGTCAAGCTCTAAATACACTGAAAGCAATATGAAGCGTACTGTTCTTAATACCCAAATGAACTCAATCATACCGAAGAATAAACAACTTGAAAACAGAAAAATAGTTAAAAATCATACTTATTTTTGAAAAACAGCTGCAAGTTGATACTTCCAACCTGTAGACCCACCTACTAAAGAGATCAGACTATAAAATGGCGCATCTCTTGAACTACCTTCATGCACTTCCGTGAGTTAACAGTATAGATACCTGAAAAGCCCTAAGAAAGAGCTCAGGCACCATGAAAAAAAACTTGTGTGGCTCAAAAATTGCCTTACAACTTCATATTGAGTCCTTTTACTTACATTCAAAGCACAAATTTTAGAATGCAAAAAGCGACTTTGGCAAAGAGCGTAACTTCCTCAAATTCAAACTCATTGAAAGGAGTAACAGGCACAATGATGAAGCGTTTGAATTCAACCAACCCAGGCGCTTCCCATCGTGATAAACCACAGAGGTAATCTGGAAATGAAAAAGCCTGTATATACGAGCTACATTCTCTTAAAACTTCCATCCAAAAATTTCTTAATATTGGCAGCCAAAATCCGAAAAACAATAACTAGTACCAAACCATCTCTTTAATGCCCGCAGATGAATTGGACTTTTGGTGTTACTTCTAACGAAACATGGTAAGAGACCACAAACAAGTTGTCGTGTATACTTAGTAGGTAAAAAAAAAGGAATCAAACATCAGCAATAAGTGCGAGAACTGAACCTACCAATGATACCGCCGCAAAAAAAAAAAAAAAAGAGTAGCTACCAATACAAGCCTGCTTCTATAAATGATTTAATTTCCAGCTTTCAATAATTAGTGTTTATTTCTGAGAAAACCTCATATTTTTGCCAAATCCATACCCAACCCATAAAGAATATTTATATACGATCCTCTCCTAATTTTCCAGCGAATTCCACGAGAAATGAGCAAAGAATTGATAAGAGCTCTTAAGTGGAATCAAAAATAAAAGCATTAATGAAAACAGTAAAAATGACATTAACAAAGTGTATTTTGTACTTTCATTTGACAAATTGATACCTTACAAATATCCCAAAATGTTACATACTGGCTATGCATCACAGACAACTCACACTTTAAATGTGAGGCCCTCTATGTCTATACGATACTCTCAGCCTATCGCTGAAAATCCCGCCATTACGAAATGTTCGTCTTATACCGGAACTCTAAGTTTATGAATTACGAACTAGAAGCCTGACATGATTATAACATGCTATGATCCCATAACAGATATGATGTGTCCACTGTATCCATTTTTGGAAGCGCCTGCAGTCAGTAGGAAAATACAACGACAATCCAATTTAACGGAGTAAAGAGATTTTTTAAATCAAATATCACTTCTTCCGCGATCCAGTTTTCTGTGAAAGAGCTCATGGTAGTTTCGAGGAACTTTTCGTACATCCTGGGATTTTATTCGAAAACCTATTCGGAATCGTTAGAATGCTCTAGGAGTAAGCTACCCTGCTATAATTTAATCACAAGAAATCGCGCACTCTTCCGAACCTATCTGCCTTCACAGTTCCTGTATTTCTGTGAACTACAAGCTGTTGCCACTAATTTGGAATGTTTGCTAATAGACTCAATCCAGCACTGAGATTGTTCATTAATTCAATAGCAAGAAGCCACTATATTACCGCGACTTAAAAACACAAACTTCCAAAGCTGATAAACTCAGGAAAATGCCTGAATTCCTCTATTCCCTCAAAATATTACAGCTAGACAGCTCATTCCACAGCATTCTGATGAACGTAAGCTAAATCCAGAAAGAAAACTCTACAGACAAAAAACTCCTAAAAGTACAGCAAGCCCTTTTACAAAACATTGACTTATACGAATTGATGAGTAATTCAAGATATCGTTGGATTTCCTTAATCAAACCAGCACGGCTGGATGGCACAATCTACATCATCCTAACAGATGTAGGCTAACTTCATGAGGAAATACTGAATAGATAAAAGTTCTTTCGTTTGAAACTGCACCAGGCTTACATAGAACCTGAGCTAGTGCAAGAACCGATAACTCAATAAACGCTTTACAACTCCTAGTAGGTTGGCATATCAAGCACATCACCCCTAGAACGCTCCAAAAGCCTAAAACCCATTCCAGAACGAACGTTCTAAACGAATTAACGGAATCAGCAACTAAACGGAATCAGAACGTTGCAACTAACCCAAACAAGAAGTTAAAAAGGCTGGAATTGTTCCAACAAGCATGCAATTCAGTCTGGTCAGATTTTCAGCCACAGGCTGGAGAAAAAGTGCACATCGCTCCAAAAAGAAAAACATCAAAACAATTGTTCAAGAATATTTCACAGCGCTCAGTTTTAACTTTTTAAACGGGAAAAGAGTAAAAAATGAAAAGCCTTTTCAAAGTCTCTGTGACAGCAAATTTGGCCTGCCAACAACTGCACTCAACAATCAAGATGAGGTTCTCAGATGACCAGATGGTCTAACCGATAGTTGCTGAAAACTAGAACTTGCAATACCAGGTACCTGTTCAAGAAAACCAAACAATATTGGTATACTACGGAGCAAACAGAACCTTCGAAGGTCCAAATTTAAGGAAATTCTTAAAGGGCTCACTGAACTCGTGTGTCAAACATTCTTTTTTGAAGCAACGTTCACCAAACAACAAATAGTAGCTTTCGCTCCATATGAAGCGCATATTAGCCAAACATTTTTACCTTTATAAAGTTGTTACACTAACAAGCAAAAAAACAGCATTAAAAACTGCCTTACAATACCTCGTTTTCTCAGTTACAAGCTTGAAGACTAAACGAAGTTCCAAAAATATCTGATTAGCATCTGGGTAAGACCTATGATTTTCTTAGCTATATCTGAGGGAAAAATACTCGGAATATAACAAACGACACAGTTCTCCCTATTCCTCGTTATGAAAGGAGGAACGGCTCGTAAGGTCAGTTTGCTGTCAACTACAAGAACAAAACTGCATCGGAATAATAAATTACGACCGACTGCTCTGACAGGACGATTAAGTAGAGGGATAAAACTGAAAGTCATCACTGTACCTCACCTGCTTCTTACTTTACTGGTCTAACAGCCATTAATATCCAGTAACTTTACCCATATTAACATATAACAGCCATTTTCCCAATTCAAATAGAAAAATTTTTCCGTACATAATTTCCCCTTCTTTTCTCACTCATTTTCTTACGAAATCTTGCTTGGAAGGATAAGTGCAATCCTCGAATTATAAAAAATAAATTAAATTCGAAAATCCAGGAAACTCTTCACATACTTGAGAAACACTTGCTGAGTTAGATGGGCGAATTAATAGTCCAATATACGAAGCGCTATTGCCATCAGTGGCCGTACTTTGGAACATACAGGGTACGGCTTCAAAACTCATTACTCACCGCTGGGATTCATTAAAATGGATTTATCTGTAAATATATTAATATTAATTTAATTAAACGTAAGCCAAAAAAAGAAGAGCGCCCGTGAAAACACAATCAAAAACGCACCGCGTGCAGAAAGTCTGCTTGCGATGCGGTTTAATGAATTTCACCCCCTCTCCTCCCTTCACTTTTCCCCTCCCCTAAGTTCTTGCATAGAGAAAAGGCAATAAATACCCACTGATCGTTCACTGTTCCGCTGGCTGCCTTACAGCTTCGTTCCAACTGCCCTCTGTCTCTATCCACTGCCGCATCTCTGCCCGTCTTCCCCGGACCGCTTCACTGCGCTACGTTATCCCTAACTCCACCACTACCCTCTTGACAAACCTGCATCACTACATTTCAGCAGTGCTGTAAATGCCTAGCCACACAGTGTTTTTCTTTTCGTATCGTCTTCCCTAATGCTGTTGGCAGAAATCCAACACCTGTTTTCGGGCAGCAATGGCGGCATTATTTCCACCGAAATTTTTTGGTAATCACAACTTCACCGGTTTCGCTTTCCTTTTTTGTTGCTGTTGCTATCGGGCAAGAAATGAAAGGAACGGACAACATTGTCTTGAGCGCGACAACCGAACCTATCAATTCCAACTATAATATTTTGACGCAAAATAATCCCTTATGATTCTTTCCTCGATCTGTTCATGATCACACGAACTGCCACACCTGCACAGACCGTTGTAATCTATTAAAGTTCACCTTATTTTAACTCCTGTTTCTTTTTTTTTCTTACTTAACACTATTTCCTCTTTTTTTTCTTTTTTTTTTTTTGTTTATTATTACTATTAAAGTAGTAATAAGGGGCTCTGTCACAAAATAAAGCGTATCAAACAACGGTAATATCAACAACAACGCTAACTTTAAAATAAATGCAGATGAGAGATGGAAGAAATGAGTTCTTCCAAAATACGATTTACAGTGCACTATATCTGCCGGAAGAGCTTAAGAAATACAACAACAACAGCACCACTGTAAGAAGCTGACGAGGAAAAAAATTAGGTCAGGGCAAAGCAAAAATGAATGAGATGTAAATATAAAACAATTTCAAAATTTTGCAAATTTACTTTTTCTGTGGAAAACTATTTTTTTCTCCATCTCTCCAACGTCGTCAATAATCAGCAAAACAATAGCTGAGAAGCGAGACCCCAGGCAGAGCACAAACCCATCGTGAGGGAGCTGCAGGCGTGTAGCGCTAACTGCCTCTGTCGGTGATGCGTGCGTCAATCGATCAACAGTCAATCAGCCACCAGCAACGAAGGCTGTCGCTGCCGCACCAGCGGCAAACAGCTGCATTGCGTATGCGTCGGTTCAGCAAGCTTCTGTGTACTTTTTCCTTGGAAAATCGTTTTTTCTTGACTACGTTTCGGCCGAATTTAGAAACTTAGAAGACGCAACTAAGGGAACGATCTTCCCTTGCTCTTCTGTCCTTCCGTTCCCTGATGGCGCTGTGTTGAAGGCATTAGGCAAACGTTAAGGACCGATTGTTCTGCGCCACCACTTTCGCTTTCAGTTCCTCACGGTTATTGCAATCGTATTAAATTGCACGATTGCTCTTCTCGCGGGTATGGGACCTGCAGTTGAAGAGTTGGAGAAGTTTTCGATTGTTGGAAGTCCCGACAGGAGACGGGAAGAAATGGTAAAACGGGCGGACAGAGAAATGGAGGACAACGCTCTGTACTGATATCTGAAAACAGTTTTTGTTATCGCGTGTTCTGTGACTTCACTGCAAATCCGTTACGGAACAGAAAGGTTTTACAGACCTACCGAATTGAAAAAAAGTCTTTTCCCCTTTTGTTCCTTCTTTTATTTCTCTATTCTAACTGTTTAGGCAACCTGAAAATCGTGTCCTTTGCTATCAGTGATATTTACTACCTGGGTAAATTTCAAATGAGTAAATTTCTCTAAATGATAACGTTCGGTTCAGTATCCTTTTCGAGGACTACTGAAATCTACGTTACTTGCCTTAGCTACAACTTTCTTTCGAGCTTATTTCTTGACATCGTCCTTATGCAGAAAATTGACCTTTCTCTTTTCACCGGTTTGGATTTTAAAAACATTTGCACAGCTTCTGGTTTACTTTTACTGGGAAGGTTTAAGTATACATGAATAAAATTTTCTGTTACTTTATTCCAACGCAAAGAATTTTTTGTGAAAGTGCGCAGATCGTGAAGGAATACACTGAAACTGAAATTTTTTTATGAAGAAATTCATGTTTCCCAGCTGGTGAAAAGAAGTCCATTGGCTGTAAAAAAAAAAAAAAAAAAAAAAAAAAAAAAA